CAAAACATCAAAATTAAATAATAAAAAAGAAAAGCAAATTGTATATTACATTTTCTTATATCCAACAGGAACATAATATTTATTCCAAATAGTATTGTTATGTATATATTCCTGTTTCATTGATTCAATCATTTTAATAAGTTCTTCTGTATTAGGTCTTTTATCAGGTTCATCATCTACACAACTATAATACAGTTGATGTACTGATGGTGGTACATAATTTTTACAAGCTTCATTATATTCCTTGATTTCAAGAGTAGGTCGTTTACCTTCACTAATTAAATTTAAAATAGCAAAGTCATTTGCTGCAGGAATATTATATTCTTTAAACCATGGTTTTGTGTATGACCCAAAAACAACTCTCCTAAAAATTTCCCAAAAAACTATTCCAAGAGAATAAATATCACTTTTTGTAGTATATAATCCTTGATGTCCATCACTTGGAATAATTTCTGGAGAACAATATGGTATTGTTCCAGATAATTCTTTTAAATCTTTTTCTCGATTTTCTGTAGTATCAAATCGACTCATTCCAAAATCACTAATTTTTAACGTATAATCGTTTGTTACAAGAACATTTAATGATTTAAAATCACGATGAAGAATAGATGGTTTGTTATCATGTAATACTCCTAGTCCAACACTCATTTGTTCACAAAAATTTAATGCAGTAGGAAAATCAACTTGTTGATTTGGATCATTAAGAACATCAAATAATGAGAAATGAGAACAAAATTCCATAACAATTGATATTGTATCATCTATAACAATTCCAAAGAACTTTACAATATTCTTATGGGTAATAATTTTTTGTATTTCAAATTCATGAAGAAATTCACTATTTTCTCCTAAATCAATACCTTCATCCATTACTTTGACTGCAACATCAAAATCTGTTGTTCCTCCTTCACTATTATTTTTTTTATAAATACCTCTATAAACACTACATGTTGATCCTGTTCCAACTTTATTTGATCGTGATGGTTTTGTTTCTCCTGTAAATTCAATTTGATTTGATCCAATAGTCCATGAATCTACATTAGCTGGAAGTGATGAACGTCGAGATACTGAAAGCATTGGTTTTTTTTCAGGTGTAGTTACAACAACTGCTTTAATTTCTTTTTCTTCTGGAAGAATTAATTCAAATTTACGTAATGAATCTTTTAAAATAGTTATATGTTTTTCTTCTTCTACAATAACTTCTAATACATCAGTTAATTCTTCATCACTTAATGATTTAAGTAATTTTGGATGAAGTTCTTGTTGAAGAAATTTTCTTGCATATAAAGCAACAAAGTCATTTGAAATAGATGAAAGCCATTGAAGTAAATTATGAACTTCATATAATTTAGTAATAACTGCCATTGAACCTTTTTCTTTAGCAAGACTTAATGGAGATTCATTTTTATTATTTAAACAATAAATATCAGCACCTCCTTTAACTAATATATTAATTAAATCTACTCTATTTAAAACAACAACAAAATGTAATGCAGTATTTTTTGCTTTATTAGCAACATTAATATTTGCTCCATTGTCAATGAGAAATTGAACAATAAGACCTCTAAGTTTTTGATTTTTAACAGTTTTAATAAGAGGTGTTTCAAGATATGAATTTGTAGCATCAATTTCAGCATGTAATTCAACAAATTTTTGTAAAACTGTTTTGTATGATTGAACATTAGCAAAATGATTACAAAAAATATGTAAAGGAGTTTGTTCATCTCTATTTTTTGCATTAACATTTATTCCTGGAAATTGTAATAATGCCATAATAAAAGAAGCATCAGAAGTAAATGTATTACATACATAATGTAATATTGTTTGTTCAGCTTCATCATATTTATTGATATCAGCTTTTACTTTAATCATCACTTTGATTAATTCTTGTGACATATCAAAATCTTTTCTAATAATCATAGAAACATATAAAGGATTCTCCTCTTTCGTTTTAAATTTTTCAAACGTTTTTTTATCTACTTTTTTCTTATTAAGATATTCTTTTACTTTATCAGCTGTCTCATTACGTACAATATTGATTAATTTCGT